TATACACCCATTAAATTCGACTATTCTTCCCAAGAAAAACATCATTCATCATTTTACAACTCTCCCTTTCACATCAGCTTCCATTCATTTGCAAGCTTTTGCCTATGGTTATATTTCAAACTTCTTTAAATGATCTGTCTGTTACATCATTTGTTATTACATCAACAGTTGCCCTGGCCCCAAAATCGTTAAGCCTCCTCTCGCCCAAAGCGTCACACAGAGGAAGGCAGCAAAACCGCGAGGAAATGAACTTCCATAATCAAATTGCAAAACATCAAATTATTTGACTTGAATCGAATTAAGAGCAATGATTTATTTTTATATCTCTTTTTCGCATTTATTTGTATTATTTTTTCAGCTGCTTCTATTTTTTTGTGTTATTTGCTATTATTTAGTAACACGCAACTTCCGCCGCAAATTCGTCTTTTCCGCATGTGAATACAGCGAGAAAAAAGAAGTGAAATGAAAACAAACATGGAAAAATAAAACGCATAATCTACGCTCAGGTGAGAATGATATATATATATATATTTTTTCGTTATATACATACATATATATTTTATGTGCATGCGTGTGTATATGTGCACATCATAAAATAGAATTAGGTAAGCGAATTCAATTACGTGGCACAACAAACCATTTGGTGCACATATATAAATCAGAGTATAACAGAATATAGAATCGAGAAACTAAGCGATACCCTGTATAAGATCGGAATTTTTAGATTGATGACAGCTATACTATTTAGGGAAAGACAATTGATAAATGAATGGATAGTTATCGAAGTTATCGAGAATTTTAGGATTACTTTTTGGACTCACTACATGAACTATATACTAAATATTTATTTTACTCATCAGACTACCTGTTCCCACATTCACAAAACTCTAATTATTACAGGGTATCACAGATGCACCCTAGCCTCAACAAGAGCAAACCTAACCATTATGTGTGAGTTTTTATGGTATTGTGGCGAAGTGTTTGACGGCAGGGCATTACGGCTAAATGCAATAAAAAACCGCATATAGAATAATTTATTTAAATCAGCATCCGACCGCCCCCATCAACCCAGATCCAAGAACAACATCGTCGCCGTAGACGACGACGACGACGACGAGCGACAACTTTGACGACCTTTTATGGAGACATGCAAAAAATTCATAACAATTTATAACGATATGTCTACGATTTAACTACATTGGCTGCAAAGAAAAAAAAACGAAGGAGCACTGCAGCCGGCGAGATGATGGAGGCAAGCCGCATTGTGCAGCATGTGGGCTGATTGCTCAGTTAATTGTGGTTAGAACTGGCGCGATGGGGTTAAATAATCTCTGATTTTGCATTACACTTGTGCGACACTTTTATTGATGTGATGTAAAAAGTTTTAATTATATATATCAAAATGCTGTGGTAAGTAATACGGCAATGTAAGCAATTATGAGCGTAATCGATAACCATAACCATAACCAGTTGAGCCAAGAAGGAAACTAGTGCGGGTTGCGTCTGAGATGGAAGCTGAAGCAAATAGAAAACAGAGAGAAAATGTCATGGAATTCTAATTAATAAGTCTATCGATAAGGGCGTTAATTTGCTATATTCGTAAATACAGTAATCGATAAGTTTATATAACTAAGAGTAAGAAGTAATCAAGCAATTATATCACTTACATAACTTTAAGTTAATTCAAAACTTTATTTAGGTATAGAAAAAAATATTTACATTAAAATAAATTATTTTTTTGCTTTTGTTGATAATTAAAAAAAAATAAAATTGTATTAAAATTTATTTGGCAAACTTTCGCACATTTTAAATAATTTATATTTTATAATTCTAAATATCAATTTAGACTTGATCGATAGACTCCATTCATATAGTATAAATCCATTTAAAAACAAGTAAGAAGACTCTAGTCGAGACTGCTCGACTAGGAGATACCCTGAACCCTCCA